ACTTGACATGGTTTAGTGGAGGTAAACCCACCATATCGGTGCTGTGGTTCTCAGACAATACCAGCTCTTATGTCACAGGCCTGTGGGCAGCGTGTAGCCCTGTCAGTAATCAGGGTTTACAGATGGAACAGGAGGGTCAAACTCGCTCCCTTTTCAGTGCTGCAGACTCAGAGACTCCTCGTCACCTTGCATGAACTGCATCTTATTCATATGCTTTGATACCATCTAATCAATGTTCAAACAGCTTTCCCCAACCCAGAGACCACAAGGAGACGGAAGGACTCACTGCCACGCTACGATCATCCCTGAAACACAACAAACCTGTTAGTGAAGAAATAAGTGAACAGAAGAAGAATTGGAGTGTCTCTTGCAAAACTACTGTCCCTCCAGTTTGAAGCAGATCTGTAGAAACCACTTTTTCATCAAGTTTACCCATCCAGAGGCTCCACTATAGCTCAGCTGGTTGAGCTGGCGTCCCATGTATAGAGGCTACAGTCCCCGATGGGTCCCGCTCATGGCCCTTTGCTGCAGGTCCTTCCCCCATTCTTGTCCCCCCACTTTCCTGTGTCTTATCTAATAAAGCCAAAAGAGGCCAAAAAAATATCTCTAAAAAAAAGTTTACCCATCCATCCATCATCTATACACCGCTTAAGCCTCTGAGGGGTCATGTGGGGGGCTGGAGTCTATCCCAGCCGACACCCTGGACAGGTCGCCAGTCTATCACAGGGCTGCACTTAGAGACAGACAACCAAGCACACTCACCTTCACACCTACGGACAAGTTAGAATCACTCAACATGTTTCTGGACTGTGGGAGGCATTCAAACTCCACCCAGACAGATCCCAGGCTGGGACGCAAACCGGCGACCTCCTAGCTGTGAGGCGACGGTGCTAACCACCGCTTCACCGTTCAACTTAAAAGACAGTTTCACATTTTCTGTATTAAAACTTTACCAACATTCTAGTATGTGCAGTGATGAGCCAAATGGTGAACAGTTGGTTCTTGTAGTCTGCTGTTGACATGAGAGAAACAAACACCTGGAGGGTGAGTACTTCAAGGTGCTGGGGGATGCACTGGAACAAAGTTTGATCTGCATTGACTCCAATTCACAACTTCCGGGGCTTAAATTATCTGCTGCTAACGTCTTAGTGTCACACACCACACGACACCTTCACAAGTCCATACCTCAGCAGGTGTGGACTTGTGAAGGCAACAGCGGGGGTTGTCGGGATGTTTTGGGAGTGTCCTGAAAGAGCTGTTGGTAGTTGTGTTTGTTGATATTTACACGCTGGCATGATACACGATAGGGAACAAAATCTACAGTCCTTCACCCAATACGTGCCTCTAGGCTCCACAAATACGTGATGCATGTGCACCTGAAATCACAAATTAATGGCTGGAATGCAGATTTACTAGGTTCCTCGTAAAATTTGTCGCCGCCCTGGCTGCACATTGTTCCCTGATTTTAACTAGCCCCTATGTTTACGCTACACCTCACCCAATTACTTCATTAATTGCCTCCCTCCAGACCAGAAGAATAAAAGAGCAAGCAGGAAATAAGGTACATGTTGTATAGTTCATACAGTCACGTCCTTTGTGCTTATATGTCCACAGCACCCACAGCAGTAGACAACAATGGACAAATGCCGCGCATGTTTCCAGCCGAAGGTCAGAGGTAGACCAGTGTTGTCCCTTCTGTGAGAATGGGAGGTTTCGTAAGGGTCGTATCGTAACCTTCATCATCGCCAAAATTGGTGAGAGTCAACGCAGACTCCTGTGTAGACGTCGGTATGCGGCCCCGTATGTGCCTAATATGTAGACGGCGTGTTGTAGACGTGTCGACATGTATGTAACTATGTTGTCCGCTGCCGCCCATGTCCGCATCTCCGTGGGACTTTAATCGAGGCCTGAGGTTATTGTTATAGCTTCTGTGAGAGGATTTGACATAAATTTCTGCCCAAGTCTGTGGGTGTTCAAACTCCTCTTTAAACCTTCCCGTGCAGCCCAAAGGTTGTGTTGAGTGTCTACGCTACAAGAGCACTGGTTTAAATGTGCTAAATACACAGAAGCTGTTGTTCAAGCAGACTCCAAGAAAAGTAGTAGCAGAAGAGTTTGTTTGTGTGTAGTAGTCACAGCTGTGCTTCTACGAGTCTAATTAAAGCGTGAGTCATTTTTCGGGCATTGATACCTTTCAAAGTTAGTCGTTTTTTGCTTTTATCTACACAAATTAAAAACAACAGTAACACAAATAAGGAATATTATCCAGAATCAGAAAGGATTTTGTGCCAAGTAGGATTTCACATACAAGGAATTTGACTTGTGTTTCAGTGCAAAACAGTAACAGTAATATATTAAGTGTAACATGATGAATATGAATCAGTTTTATAAGTCAATAGCAAATAGCAGTAAGTGTAGTAAAAGGTCTATAAAACACAAAAAGTAATAGAAATATTTGCAGTGTGGATGAATGTGCAAATGAGTCACCAGAGAACAGACAAGGTTCCATAGTATGGAGTGTAAACAAGAACCTGAAATGTGCAAGAGGATGATCATAAATCTATTTAAAGCTGTGTCTTACTATAATGCTGGAGTCAACATCTGCAGTGGAGGAAGAGGGACAGTGTCACTGGGAGTCTCCGGTCTTGTTGAAGAGGCCCACTGCTGTTCCTGTGTCGTGAAGTTCTGGTCCTGATGGAATGCAACCACCTGCCAAAAGGGAGGCACTCAAACGGTTTACGTCCATGGTCGGTGTGGGGGGCACAATCTTCCCAGCACATTTTAAGGTCCTGGAGATGTACAAGTCGACAATATATAACAAAAATCATGCATAAAACACATTAATCTGGGAGGTTTATTTAGTTTGAATTGTAGCCTCATGTTATCTACAACTGTACCTCGAACTGTGTTTTTGCCTCCGTCTCTTACATTAGAGTCTCTTCAGGGTCAGTATGAACAGGACAAATGATTTCTGTGACTCCTTACAGTGAACACATGGACAGGTTACTGTTGTTTCACAGCGACATAAATTGGAAAAATCTGAAGCTATCCTTTAAATTTCTGTAAAAATAATAATACTCACCTGACTGTAGAGGTGAGTTGTTCTGAGCAGCTGTCCTCTGGCACTGTGTCCACTCTTCTTATCCCTCCATGAACTATTGTCTACAGTAGGCCAGACTAATCCAGATCGCTTTCCCAAAGCTGCTGCTCCTAAAAGGGATTACAGCGGTTAACCTATCGCTTTAGCTGACTCTGGCACAGCCGCCTCAGAGCCAGGTCTGTCTGCTTTAATGACTCCACTTTCATGGCTCCGACACCGGGAGCACTGAGCAGCTGATCTCATGGCCTCTTACCCAGATGCCACGGTGCTCCTCAAACACCTCAGAGATCAGATGAGCATGCAAACAGGGCTCGCATATAAAGACTGTGCTGTGTTCATTTTGACCGCGCCGACCTCTGACCTCCGCTGCAGTCGAAGTGTGATTGACGGGGAGAATGAAGTTTTTGAAAAGGCTTCGGAAACCCAGAGATTGCTCTACTCTGTGAGATCAAAAGGCTCTGAGTTAATTCTCATTCTTTCTCATCATTTATCAGAGCACTGTATGTAAACAGATGTCAGCTGCTGTGTATAAATGACAGGATATTATCCCAGATGTATGCTAATGGCTGTAGCAGTGTCTGCTGTGTGATGAGCAGCCTCCTAAAAACATATTAGCAGTTAATGGGCCTTTGCTGTATTTGTGTAATTTTCCTAGAATGAAAGTGCTGAACTTCGGAAGACAAAGCATCATTCTGCTCCTCTCCTCTGAGTTTAATTCAAAAGGAAATTAATGTTTGGGCTTCTTCGATTGCTTCCTCCACATCCTTAAAAACAAGAGCAGGAAGATTGTTGCTGGAGAGCTGCTGCTACGTTATATTGGCTAATGTTACATCAGCTGGCAGACACCTCCGAGAGTTATATCACCGACTGTACAATAACCAGGTTAGCAGGTGTATCAATCGGATTAGAATATAGTGGAATGGGCCACAAATATCCCTCGGTGACAGGCCGCCGTAGAGCGTCGCGGCATCAATCAACAGGCTGCGAGGGATTCATTTCAAGCCTCAGATGCAGCAGGCAGGGAGAGAGGAGACACGGGAAAAGGTGGCACTGTTTGTTTTTCTCCAGACCGCATGGACAAAGACCGGCCCAGTGACCTTTAGCTGCAGCTGGCTATCTGATGGGCTGCTGTGCGTGTTTTAGGGAGGGTCACATTCAGTATGAGGATGCCTCTGGTTTCTCCCAGGGAAAATGGTGCCCTTTGTCCCAGAAACCCCGGGGACGAGGGGAACTGAGGAGAGGTTTAGTGCGCTTGTATTGGTGCTGTCCTGTTGACTGGGAAGACTGCAAGGTGCCACTGCCAGATATTAAGCATCCACCCCTTGATCCCCAATCCCTACTGATGCTTAACTGAAGAAGCAGGGGAATGAACAGGAGGCATTCATTCAAGCTTTTGTGTCTGCGCTCTCTGGGCCTGCATGCATGAAGGGCTGCTGTCTTCCTAAGCCTGTCTGTCACAATAAGCCTTTTGATTCCTTAATGACAGGGCCACAAGAGGGGAGGGGATGTAAAATAACTTGAAGAAGCACCTGCAAGCTGTCTCAGAGGCCAGTAAATAATATGTGGGGGTCACATTTTAGCGTGTTTGTGTACTCGCGGTAGCTTTGGGCAACAATCTCCTGTTCATCATGTAAAAACTGCCTCTATGGCATCAGGGACAAGTCAATTAGAAAAGGATTAAGGGATCGGGACCCGTGAGCGCCCTCGAGACTCTCCTGACGGACCGGAGGGGAATCGGTCAGCAAACTGAGAGGCTTGTCTTGTGTGTCTGAGCCAGCAGACAAACAACAGAGCCAACAGAGTGTGTTCTAATATCAGTTTTCACTGCGCGGGGATGTGGGGGCAGGACCGACGCCGGGGCTGAACACTGGTTTGATGAGCGTGCAAGCAGAAGACGCAGCCGTTAAAAAGGCATGTAAGTAGTTTATTGTTCAGTTGGAACACATTCTCCATAATTTTTACGACACTTTCAAGCATTACAACCTGACAGTCTCATACACTTGAAGATCATAAGTAAACGCCATTGGTCATGAACAACTCGATGCTTCATATATAGGTTTGCATTCAGTACTACTGTATATAAACTTTGCAATACATAAATAACAATAACTGTGCATCTCATATCAATATACACATTCAGTACATAAATACATGTGTACAATGGCACAGCATAGAAATATAACCCGATGCCTTATGAAACAATGGAAAATATACAGATTCCTTGCTCTATCAACACGATAAATCTTGCTGGAAAATTGCACAGATCTCTCACTAGAATACATAACGAGTCCTCCTGAATAAATGAGTGAGAACTCAGTGGGGTGTAATTCACAGTCGATAACATTCAGTGCATCCCAGAGCCTGAAATACAAGCCATGAACACAGTCACATGTTCTCACGATAAGCTCACTGAACTTCATGGGTCAAAACTGGGGGGAAACAGAGGTGTGTGTTTGTGTGTGTATGAATTTGACAAGCACAGATGAGTGTGTGTGCGGCATCACTCCGGCAGCCGTGTGCGTGTAGCTCATACTAAACATCTGGAAAACATCAAGACATGCGGGCTCATGCGATTCACGATCGAGATGCATGAAAATAATGGTGGAGAAGACGTGCTGCTCAGCTCCGAGATGTGTCGCTGTGTCCTCACGCTGCAGACGCTGTCGCTCACTGTGTGACCCGCTATCAGCATCTCTGCATCATCATCATCATCATCTTTGCCTCAGGTGTCGCCTTCCTCTGGCTGCAGCTCTGCTCTGAGAACAGCATGCGTTTGTTCTTCGTGGATTTTCTTGCCACTGGATGCTGGTGGGAAAAGGCCTTACACCTGCCACCCCTCCTGCCCCCTTTTTTCCCCGACCCAGCTGCCGGCTGAGTGGCTGTGAGGGTTCACCTGCCGGTCGTGCTGTGTGCTCCTGGACTTTGAAACAAAAGCCAAACTGCTGACTCCTGTGACCGCTGGCTTTGAAATGGAGCCTGTTTTTATGACTCAGTTCTGCTATTTATAACTCCATGCTGTTCACATGCCCCATTAATAACAACACATCACGTGCTTGGTAATGGGGCTGACAACGGCAAGTCACTCTGACATTAGCAGAGGCTAAATTTACCTGACATTGGACAGGGAGGGATGGAGTCTTAAGTGTTCGAGGAGTGTGTCGGTGTTTAGGATGATGCTGTGAGAAATGAGGGAATGACTAAGGGATCTGGGGTTGAGTTTGAATTCAGTTGTCACTTTGAGTGCTCAGTAACCTGCTTTATGGCACATTCATAATGCTGAAATAAGACCTACTCTTTCACTATGCATGCATGAATGCTGATCAACCCCTTACAGCACCTTTCGTAAGGCATTCCTCGAACGCCTTTGTCATTTGTGTCATAAGGGAGGAACACCAGGCGGGTAAATGCCTGCACTACGACGTGGTCCATCGTCTTTGCAACCGTGAGAGTAAGATGGTACAAACCAGGGCTCAGCTGAGGATTGATACAGAGCTTATTGTGTTCATGGATGTCGCAGTGCAGCGCGGGACGCCTCGCTCTAGTTGGGCTGGGACAGTCCCAACGCCGTGGCGATGGCGGCCAGAAGGAGGGCGGAGCTGGCCAGGATCACGGCGCCTCCCGACCGGAACACCTGCCGGCCGTTTAGGGGCTGGACGGGCCTGAAGTTTCCCGTCATCTGCTTGCCGTCATGGAACTGGAGCTCTGAGAAAGCTCTCAGCTGGAGGAACAGGAGATTAACACAAATGTCAGGCTGCAGCTTCGGGGAAAAGATCACCAAGGTGTGTAATCTGACTGAGTCTGGGAAAGCTGTGTTTTTGTGTCAGCGTGTACATTGAGGACCAGCAGAGGAACGTTTCCAGGCTTCTGCACTTCAGCACACTGCTTGCACCTCATTGTTTTCTTTTTATGCTACTTTGGTCCATAAATTTCAGGAGGAAATCTACTGCCTTTATCTGACAATTACATTCACCAGTGAGTCTGTAGATGAAATATTTGTATTAAAAGACTTCACATGTTGGTTTATTAGGAAAAAAAAAAGACATTGATGGGAAAAATTCCACACTAACCTGTCAGTGTGTTGTAGTTTAAATGTAAAACTAGACTTCAGCACACCTGACAGAAGAGAGAGCTGCAGGAGGAGGGCTACGTACTTTTATAGTCAGAGTTAATTATTTTTAAAAATGATTGCCCTTTCTGGAGTCCTGCCTACTGCAGCTTTAAACCAACATATTCTCTTGTGATCCCTTACATCAGTGTCAGTGCCCTTATCACAATTAGATAGCTATTTTATCACACTGTATATATATCATTTTACATTACATTTTTAAATATCTCATTACCTCATTTTGTGTTTTTAGTACATTTTAATACTTTCGTACCAACATTGTTTTATGTTCTGTGTCAGGTTTGGGGTCTTGACTGTGACTGTAGCTGCTGTAATGACGGATCAACAAAGTGTGTATCTATGAGGTGTTAGTGATGCCACTTCTCCTGTGGTAGATTTAAAATAACTATTTATGGCCTAAAGAGGTCAAAATTATTCAATATTTCTGGAACAAATTGGAGAAAACTAGCAAAAGTTATGGAGAAGTAAAAGAAATAATTATAGTTTTGATGGCTGGAACCTTGGCACGGACAAATCGGTAACAATTAAATATAAGTAATGTAAAAAACAAAACAGACATCAGTTAAAGGGGACATGTTTCTGCAAACAGTCATTTTACAGAACGCTTCTTTCATCACTACTCAGAGAAAAACTCTTTTGGTTGCTGAAGTTAAAATAGAAAATGGACAAAATAATTTTAGGACAGTGATCAAACTCAGGTGCATTCTAACCTGGTCCATGCTCAGAGGGATGGGCTTCTCAAACACGGTCCAAACCACAGCCTCAGCGCAGCCCGGGGTGGTCAGGGAGCCTTTGTAACGGTAGTAGGAGGTCATATTCTGCTCAGACGGGACCAGCTGTGCCAGGGAGATGGCAGGCAGAGATGTATTACCGTCTGAAAACAGAGAAACCACAGAGGAAGCGTTAGTAACAAACACATGCAGCTCTGTGTTGGGTTCGGTTGTGCAGAGCTGTCATACATACTTGTGGACTTGATGCTTCTCAGACTGCTGATGATGGGCTCGTACTTTTTGTTTGAACTGCTGGATTTCTGAAAATAGGAGGAGACACGTATCAGTATTCTTTCATTTCACAACTTCACACTGTAGACTGATAAAACTACGAAGGACTTCAAAGATGTACCTCGTACAAAAATCCAAGAACAGCGATTCCTTCTGGATCTCTCAGAGCTGTTGTCAGATCAATGTAGTGGCTCTTCATGTGAACAATGTGCAGCTGCAGAGAACATATTACGGCTGTTAACACTTTGTGCAAAGTCAGGTTTTATGCAGTAGATGTGGAACTGTAAAGTAAACGGGACCAACAAAAATGTCACGATTTTATCAGCTGAAGGATTGCAGCATTTGTCGATATTCATGCTCCAACAAAAGCAGCAGATATCCGGTTCTGCAGCCGTTTATCAGAAACGTGTCTTAAAGGAGTTTACTGATACAGAAAAGCTTACTTAATCCGATAATCACCAGACAGGAGTGGAAGTTGAAATATAAAGGGCCGATTTGTATTTGTGACCATTTAAAGGTAGAGTCTGCAATTCTGGAGAAAGGTGTTGATATTTCGCTTGTTAAATATGTTTTCATTTTCAGGGTTAAGGTTACATCTACTGCATTTACACCTTGGATCCACAGTGCTTTTGTGCTTGGGGGCCCCTAAAACTGAGACTTTTGGAAACGCTGCTGAACCTGGTGGGTAACTTGGGTTGTGTTTGGAGCCAGACAGGCAGAAATGGAGGATTTTGGAAACTATGACTCAGATATTCATGTTGGTTTTCAGATTTGGTAAATGGTCACTTATAAAGCTTCACAATGCATTTCTCATTCACCCATTCACACACATTCATACACCAATGGCGACTGAGCTGCCATGCAAGGTGCTGCCTACCATTGGGAGCAATTTTGGGTTCAGTGTCTTGCCCAAGGACATTTCGACTATGGAGGGGCGGGGGATCGAACCACCAACCTTGCGATTGGAGGACAACCCACTCTACCACCTGAGCAACAGCCGCCCAGACAGACAGATCTGAACTGTCACTACTGTTCCCTGATTCGTCATGCTTCTACCACGACTGATTTCCAGAAGAAAAACAGACATCTGACTACCAGTGATTCATTCAACATGAATGACGAATCGAAGGTGTCGCTGACTTTGTCGTATCTGCTGGCAACTTCTGTGCAGTTAAATCTCTGGTCTCACTTTTTACTTCTTCCTCCTTAGTATTTTATACAACAAAGAAACCAAACCCTGCTTCTTGTTTATGCACGAGCATATAATGCACGGACAGCTTGAAAAGTGTGAAGAGACTGTGGAGAATCGCTGCCTTTACTTTTAAAGGTCAGATCTGGTGATATTCCTCCACTCTAAGACCACAGTCAGCTGTGTGTCTGATAAAACCCCATCAATGGGCCACAACATGTCACAACACTGAGTCACAAGTTCCTTCTTTACGATGAGCAAGTGCAGTGTAATCTATTTTAAGTCAACCATTTGTACACCATAAATATTCACTAGTAGGCAAATCCATAGCTGAAAGTGTTCCCACGACAAACAACACAACATCCTGAATCAACCGTTCACCATGTCAGACAGGCTTGGAGACGGTTAAAGTACCTCCATGGGATACTGCTCCCCATCGATGGTGTGCTCGGAGCCAGGTCCTCCGTTCTTGCCCCAGTGCAGGTGGAACTGCACGGCCTTGTAGGTGCCCTCCAGGCCTCCACCTGAGATGGTGCTCAGATGAGGAATTCCGACCTGAACTGCAGTGGACCAACAACAAACATACAGAGTCAGCGCCACAGCTTCAAACCACTGATGTCTATGTGCTGCTAAACAGAAAGTACGCTCACCTGAGTGTCCGTTGTTTTTGATGTTGCTCCTGAAGATCTGCTGGTAGTTCTTGAACTGTATCGGAGTCAGACGCTCATCTTTCAGTGTCTTTCTGGTGACGATGTTGATGGGTGACTGGCGTGTTCCTGCACAGTCCTTGAAGGAGTGGTCCCACTTTTCTGGTGCTAAGACAAGAGAAATAGCAGCGTTCAAAGATTTGGACTGATCGCTTCTAGTACTACTGAACTTAGAGCAGGTTGTAGGACAGAGGCAGCACTTCCTAATGATGTTCTTATAATAGCTGACAGTGGCCAAACATCAGTTTTACTGCTTCTACACGGAATTTGTTCTTCTGTCTGTGAAAGAACTGATTAGAGGGGGTGAAAGTAAAACTAACCATAAGCTCTGAGGTCGTCTGTGAAGATGCTCAGTCATCCAGGTCATGGTTATTCTCACAGATTAATCGTAGCAACGGGACTTGCTTGAGTTCCTTGAAGACGTTTCACCTCTCATCCAAGAGGCTTCATCAGTTCTGACTGACTAGTTGGGAGTTCCAGATTCTTAATGGCTCCTTTAGGATAGAAGTATCCGGAACTGCCAACTAGTCAGTCAGAACTGATGAAGCCCTTGGAAGCAAGTCCAGTTGCTACGATTAATCTGCGAGAAGCTCTTAGGTTATCATTTATTGTTTGTTTATTCATTTTATGTACATGTATCTTTGTAGCTAATTATGGAAGAGTTACCTCAGGGGTCAATAAGGTCAAGGTTTGAGGTCAACCAGAGAAGATATGTTTACACCCCTTAAAGGTTTTTGTCTTTCCAAAGATGACCTCAGTGTTTCTTACATGGTATGGATAACTATGCCGTAAGGTTTGAACTTACAGTCTATTTGCAACGAGCCAATAGGAAAAGAGTTTGTTTTCTATAAATGCTGTTACGTTGGACTTCTTCCTTGGGGGAGAGAGGATCTTAACAACAATACATTCATGGACAATCCAGCAGTGTGTTTGTTGTCTTAATCAAGGGTAGAATCCGGGTGGGTAAAATATCCTCGACAAGGGTTTTTAAATCCACCACATGCACGGAGTACCACAGGGATCAATCCTTGGTCCTTCACTTTTATTCAACTAGATATTACATTTGGGCCACATCTTGCAGAAGCATGACATCAGGTTGCATTTCCACACAGATAATTCTCAGACTTGTTTTCCCTTCAGTTCCTGCAACGTGATGCAACTGAACAAACTGCAGCTCTCTCTCATAGACGTTAAAACTTGTTACCATTTGCAGCCACCAACAAATCAGGAGCTATCATTGCTTCAGATTCCTTATAAGCTTATGTCTTGGCTTATTTTAGAAACCATGCCTTAATATTGGATTACAGGCTCAGTATTGACCTCCAGGTGAAGTCAGTTCTGCTGCTTCCTACTTTGTCAGAACATTTTCTTTTCTTTTTTTTTTTTTGTAAATGCAGAACACTTTTAAGTTGAGCACTTTTTATTAACATTGCTTTAATTGTCAGTCTACAATCTTTGCAAACTGCTTCAGATGCCTGCAGCAACGCATTACAGATGGAAAACTGCTTATAGCTCCAGTTCTAGAAACAATGTCTGTTTAAGAGTAGATTTTATCTGCACATATATGAGACTGACTCCTGGCTGTATTTCCGACTAGCTAACCCTGTGAAGGTACAAGTGCGGGCTGAAATCTTGTACTAATTTTCCATCAGTAATTTCCAAGTTAAGGTGGAAACCAGCAGGAATCGGGCCTTTACCAGTCTGCCGTAACAGATCAGCAATTTTATCTGTTAAATTTCTCTTGAATATTTGCAATTTGGTAAACTGCACCTCTGGGTTTTTGAAAACTGCTTTATAAAAAAAAACACTTTAGAAGTGAAACCAGCTTACCATTGCAGGGATGTTCGCAGGCAAACTGGGACTGATAGCACCAGTCTGAAACACAGAAAATGATTTTATTGATAAGACGTTGCATGCATCCATCTTCATATCAACAGTGAGTGATGTAAGGAGCTTAAACACACTTGATGCCAGTGACAGTATCAGTCAGTTCCCTGCATTGTTAACTTCTGAGTGACACCAACAAACCTCAGCTGGACTCTTGCCATATTCGCTGGCACGAATCCTAAACAGATTTTATATATATTTACAAATGTGTGCTTTTATTAATAGATTATTTTGTTCCTTACTGCAAACAGCGAATTGTTCTCCTATTAGTTTAAGTCAGCTGTTATTCAGGGCCACACAAAAAACCTCCTAATACACAGGAAATTGTCTTCCTATTCACAAAAAAGTTGGCGTTTGTGCTTTATCTTTCCGTGCTATCAGCATAAACACAGGGCCAATCTTTTGCATCGGCAAGGTCCCATTCTCACATGTTTGTCTGCGGGTTTATTAATATTTCACAATTGGTTTGCATGTTTCCACCCTTTACGTGGAGACAAATATCTGCTGCTATCTCACAAATCAAATATTTATGAAAAACACACATGCCATTGAAAAAATACGGGGAGGGTCTCCTGCTCTGTTATTAGTATTGTATGAGGACTTCTCCCTGTGTTTGTGAAGGAAGTCGCCGCTTGATTTCTGTGCCATGTTGGTGAGCCTTTTTCCTCCTGCTGCTGCATGATAATGGGCACTGAAAATAAACCAAGCAGGGGGCAAACATTTTGGGGGGTCACAAGGTATTCAGGGGTGCCATCACTCCTCATAACGTTACATAACGAGATGCTCATGCTTCATATTCCTCTTTTTTTTTATCTTTATCATGTAAGTGAAGCGTGGGCCCTGTGGGAAAAAAAATCTTACACCTCAGAATGTTCTAATTACCCTCCGTCGTTACAGCCTGAGCGTATTAAAGGATTAGGATTAATTTCAAACATTGAGTCGCTTTTGCCAGGTTTGACAGCTTCGGCAGTAACTGTAAGATGTTTTATTTTTAGCATCACAGCTGTGTGAGTCTCACAAAGACAAGACGGTTCACTTGCGTCGCATAAAGGTGATAATCAAGCTTGTCGGCATTAACTTTTGTAGCTGTTAAGATATGGTCTCCTCAGGAACAATACTAATCGTTTACATGTTTAATTAAAAGACAACCTTTTTTTTAAATCATCTATCCTTCAATCCTGATGGGCATATTAAATAATATGATCAGGAATTCATAATGACACCAACACTCAGAAAGATGCTGAATATTGGATTTGTTCATCAACCAGGCTGATCATTTATTGACCCCTCGTGCTTTTATAGAACATGACAATAAACAGCTTTTACCAAATATCTGACATCTCACAAGTAATATTTACTGACGTGTTGTGTGTGAGGAAAAGCAGAAGCACATTTTCTGAAGTACAAATTTGAGATACTTTGGTGTTTGACTCTATTAGTCCACTGCCTTTATTTAGGAGCTGCAGTCACAAGCTACTGAACTGTACAGAAATAATACATGATATTATAAAACTAAGGGATCATTAATCTTTAACTTGTATTCTCGCAGCATTTGTTCAAGAATTCTTACTGTTTGAAATATTGCTTTAATTTCATGTTTTTAATACATGGCTTCTTCCACTATATTAGTATTTTTACAGCTTGGTTTGGCTGTTTTTTCTCAAGTAGAATAGTTAAGTCATCCACAACTCTCCTCCGTCACCTCTCTATGGCTCAGAACGGCTCGTTTTCACATCAGCCAATCAGAACTCTGTCCGCACAATATCCTGACCAATCGGCACGCGGCTTTGATCTTTTGTGTGGCGCTCAGCAAAACGAACAATATGAGCGAGGTTTCAATAGATCTGAGAGCCGTGGTGGCCAGAGAGCGACCTGAGGAAGCTGTCAAGGAGAAAACAAAAGGCTACGGCAGGAAAACAAACAGGCCCCGTCTGCCGGCACGTCGACCACATCTGACAGCGACATGTGAACTCTGCGGCGTTTCATGCCATTGTGTTGTGTTGTGTTGTGTTGTGTAGCCACGAGGAGCCACACGCAAGCTCGTCCCTCACACACCAAGGTTTAGGTATTTTTGTGGGGACGCTGAATGACATAATCCCGTTAAATTAACCATCTCAACCAACCCGAACACGAACCTGATTCTAACCTGAAAACTAAACGTGTCCAGCTTCACATTACGCATTAAAACTTGAGAGGATGCGTCTTAACGTCCTCACGACAGTAGTGCTGAGTCAATATCGGTTCTCACAAAGGTAGCAGAACATGCCCAAACACAAACACGCACGTACAGAATGACAGCAGAGGGAGACACCGCCGCGCTCCATCATGCGCCAAAGCGACTCCCCGCGCAGCTTTCAGGACCGACTACAGGGGAGACTTTTGGATCAGTGCGTTGACTTGACAGAAACAGACACGATCCTGATCAGGTTTCCAGTCCTCACTGCACATGCGCACTCCTGCTGGGACGGGACCCTGCCACTGGGATCAGTGCGCACAGATGTGGACCGAAGCGCGCACTGACCGAACCGATGAATGAATGAATGAAGCGCTTTTCTTTTCTTTTCTTGTTTTTTTTTTTTTTTTTTACTTTTGCAAAATTATCTAACATGATCCTTCAATAATCCTATTTATATCACCTGTAGAAATAGACAAGCTTCTTCCTGGATGCCACATCTGATACATGCGTCAATCAGAGAGTCTATTTTCGAGCTTGTGTCTGTTTTAAAGGTGTTGAATGAAGGTGAACAGACGCGCTGTGATCAGTTCATCCATAAATTATACTCTGATAGATAGATTCTAACGCTCTCAGCTGTCACTTACAACACTTTAGTCAAGCACAAGAAAAAAAAAAGCCAAATTAAACCACATTTTAAAGACTGGTTTTAAAAAAAGGTGTATCAGGAGTTTAAATTAAAACGCACCAGAGGAGCTTTGGACGTTTCCCTCCATAAGTGCGCACTTGTGAACCGGTGACTAATAGCTGATCACAATGAACAGCCTGCAGTCATCGCCGCTAATTTCCTTCACTTTCCCGGAGTCCTGGTGCCAAACCCGGAGGACTGTTATGTGAAATTACCGCCTCACAGCGGACCGACGCTAATTTGGAGACGGTGGCGCTGCGCGTGACGCGTCTCTCTGCGGCAACAAGGACGCAACCGCCTGTCATTGGCTCAGCGTGGATCCGAGCAGGTGCACGAGAGGGAGAGAGAGAGAGAGAGAGAGAGAGAGAGAGTGAGGCAGAGAGAGGGGGAGAAAGAGAAACACAGACGTGTCCGACGCGCGGAGGCTCTGAGGGAATCTCAGCTCTGCCAGATTTTGTCTCCGGCTCAGCTGATGCAGGGACTCTGTATCCTCTCCTGTCCTTGAGCTCAGAGGTGTAACTACGTGCGGGGGAGCAGATGAGCCTCTCGGACACACGGAGGAGCCCCATCAACCTGATGGACAGGGCAGGTGGAGCGCGTCACGCAGACGGATTTTGGTGCTCTCCTCTGGTAGAGGGTTGGTGGGTGGGTGGGGGTGCCTCGTTTTCATCTAGGGTGCTTCTATCTATCTCTCAGCAGAACGTTTTTCTTTTTCAGTTTTGGAATTTCTGTCTATTTGTGCATTCATGGAATTCCGCATTATACTAACTTAGTGATCAATAAAGTGACAAAAAATGTTTAAAAAAAACAACAACTTCATCCTGCTGCTGTCACTGAGCAGCCTGCTGAAGCATCCATTCATCTCATTTTACTGTTTAGTCCTGATATTAGAGCTTATATTGATCTAGATGTCAAGTATAATTACATGTACAATATCATCACAAATCAAAATGAAAAATAAATATTAACAGGCAGAAATTGCGCAAAACACAAACATTCCCAGAAAAAAATAATCAGACAATAAATATCCAGAATTCAATTAAATTCCAAATTTCTTTCACATATTCTCTTCTGTTTAGAGGCAACAGAGACTAAATAATGTCAATAAATTGCACCTATTTTCCCTGTATGAATGAGCAGAGACTCACCTCCTGCTCCGGTGCAGGTTGTCCAGAAGGATGCCAGGAGAGCGCACAGGAGGATCAGCTGCTGCATCTTGGAGCGTCTTTGACTCGAGCGAGAGGAGGCAACACAATGACTCGTTTTTTCCAATGTGATCGCATTCTTGCGGGGGGTCTTATACTTATCTATCAGCGTACCCCCGACAGGAAAGAGGGAGTGGCCCCTCCCCCTTCGGGCATCGCCTCTAATAAAGGCTCTGCGCTGATAAGAGCCGCTGAGGAGCCCGTCGATGGGCTCCTGGTGCGCCGGAGCCAAACGTAACGCAGCGTCCGGAGCCTGATGGAGGAGATCTGTGCGCAGAGTTATTGATGACGGGCTGCTGACAGCTCCATAGGTGGCTCAAGGTGGCCTTCACATGATTAACAGAGCAGAGAGAGAGAGAGAGAGAGAGAGAGAGCGGGGAATATTCTTATTAGTCCAGATTTAACCTCTCCCACATTACTCCACCTGTTCCTTCACATTAAAGGTCAGAGCTCCAGTCATACAGTTCTGCATCAGCTTCATCCAGCTGTTCACTGGAGCTACATGATGTCAGTGACACTCAGCAACATCGATCTGCATGGAAACATTCTGGGAAAATGATTCAAATCAGTTAAAAGTACCACATTATAAAACAGTTCTACAGTGTTTATGAGTGCTGTTCATACTGTTATCATCACATAGTCAGTCATGTCTGTGAACAACCTGTGTGAAGGGTTCATATGATAAACTTTAATGTACTTAAACCATTATGCAGAATGTGTGTTATTCTTTTGATGCATTCATGTGTCATTGGTACAGTTTCATATATAATAATACATCATAAACCATAATCTGATATCAAATATATTATGATAAACCTAAAATAATTTTGATATCATGACAACAACACACATATGATGATATTGTGAATAATCCAACTATCCACACAGTCCGGTTATGGTCTACATGGAAAACTATATTTATTTCTTGTGTGTTTATTCTTGTTTTAATTTATTTCTTAATATTGTTTTGGTGTGGAACAGTACGCAAAGCATTTCACTGCACGTTATATCGTGTATGACTGTGTTTGTGATAAATAAAGACCTTAAATTGAATTGAATTGGTCACAGATTCTCCACCTCTGTGTTTTAAGTCACTCATTTGCCAAAATAAAAGACAAAACATGCAATAAACAGATGAATTTGACTGATAGCATGATTTATCTTTTCAAATTAACAAATATTGGCTGCACTAATTGCATAGAGGGAATCTGACATCAGCTGCAATGGTGTAAAAAGTACAATATTACACTAAAAAGTATTTTTAAAAAGTGTACACAGGAGCTTAAAATAGTACAGCTGTTGAGTAAGTGTACTTTCTGCTGCTGCTTTGAAGTTTCTCCTGATGAAGTAAAATCTGAGTTTGTAACTAACGAACCACCGTCAGCTCAGAGAGGCTCGATGGGTTAAACAGGGAGAGACTTTCACCTGACAGACGCACATTTAGAAGTGACATCAGGTGAAAGAGAAAGTCAAGCCAAGTTCACCCTGTCCAGAAAAAAAAAAAAACCTAAAAAACCTCACGTCGCTGTTCAGCTTTTCCACAGAAAAAGTTTGATGAGCTGTCACCTTTATTTTTATTCACTGAGTGGAAACCTAGAATACCCTCCACCTGAATTATTGATCATGCTGAGTGAGTACATTTCCTCCACCAAAAACATAATTTAGCTTGTTTTGCTTTTCTTGAAAACTTTTTTTTTTAAACCAAGAATCTGATTAGTTTGAAAAACTGGATGTGAAGGTGTGTGAAGCTCCAGATGTGTGTGTGTGTGTGTGTGTGTGTGTGTGTGTGTGTGTGTGTGTGTGTGTGGAACAGTGCAGGTGTCTCCTCTCTCCTCCTGGAAGTTTCTGAATCGTGGTTTCACTTTAAACATGTTCCTACAAAGGAAGTGACAGCTGATTTTTAATAACTTCACTCAGTGTGTAGCCGTGACAGTCTGTAAGTGTGACATTATGCAACCATGTCATCACTGGATTGGCTCAGAGTGCTGGTTGTGTTGCAGAAGCTCCTCTTTGTGTGTCTCCTGGTGAAAAAACTCCATCTGGTGGACGAATGCAGAACAAGCACCGCCGCTGCCTCCATGACTCAGATGTGTTTCACTGTGGTGGCAGAAGTACTTAAATCCCTGGAAAATGTAGTTTTCTTACTGTTATTTAATCTGAACGTTTCAGTGTTGTTATGTAGAATAATTTATCTTTGATTTGGTGTTTCTACTCATCTCTGAGATTCCACTAAAACTGCCTGATGCCTCCTTTTCAGGGATGTTGTGACTGTTTAGTCATACTGAGAAGCCAGCCAGGGTTCAGTAGAACAACCTGTTGCTAGTTGAGGATTTTTTGTGCTCAATATGATGTGTTTTCACTATTTTGCTCCTTAAAACTAAATCCATCCGTTATCTATACAACGCTAAATCCTCACT